GCTTCCAGGCATTTTTTTTACACTTGGACAGCTGGGCACCATCGTACTCACAGGCACAGTCATTGGGCATCGTTACTTCATCCCCCTCATTTTCCCACTCCATGACTATCTTCAGTCTACGCGGTAAGTTAACTCAGCAATGGTAGCAAAACAATATATTCCCCACTTTAACTGGTCCTGCTGTTATTCCATCTAAACTTATCAGGGCATCGTTCCCGCCCGGTATCCTTCTGGGCCTTTCTTGTCCGAGGACCCTTCCAGACTACTGGCAGTGGAGTCCCGGGCGGATGGCACACTCGCTGTCTACAGCCTGGCACGAGACGGATGGCACAGCCTGGCACGAGACGGATGGCACAGCCTGGCACGAGACGGATGGCACAGCCTGGCACGAGACGGATGGCACAGCTTGGCACGAGACGGATGGCACAGCTTGGCACGAGACGGATGGCACAGCTTGGCACGAGACGGATGGCACAGCTTGGCACGAGACGGATGGCACAGCTTGGCACGAGACGGATGGCACAGCCTGGCACGAGACGGATGGCACAGCCTGGCACGAGACGGATGGCACAGCTTGGCTCCACTTTAGTCCTTCAGGAGTCGTGCCGTCTTTCACTAACTCTATTAGCGCTGAGGCTCTCCCGGACCATTTGTGGGTGTCTAACCACATGCACATATGACCTCAATTACCTCGACTAACCGGTGCCCCCGCACATTGACTCTGTACCGGTACCCCCCTGTATATATAGCCTCCCTACTGTTATTTTATTTGACTGCTGCTCTTTAATTATTTTTTAATTATCTATTTTTTACTTAACTTAAACTTAATCTTAAAACTGCATTGTTGGTTAAGGGCTTGTAAGTAAGCATTTCAAGTTAATTTACAAGTACTGATCCCTTCACATTCACAACCTTCCACCCACAGAAGTAATGCTACTCGGGCTTTGGGTTCGGTCATAGGGTCGGCCTTGGAGTGCTGATTTAGCCCGATACTAGCTTATTACTTAATCACAACGGGTTTCAATTTATCCACACAATATATTCCTACTTTTTCACACAAAAACCGTATTAGCATCTAGAACTTAATATTACCTTATCCTTTTAGAATGGTGCTCTTTATGGTTAAGTTGTGTTGTCATTTCCCAGTTTTATCGGGGTTATTCATTTGACACGTCGCAGTTTTTTTTTCACTGTATTGGCTATCGTTTTACCTTTTACTCTGTATCCCATTGCGTTCAGTTTTATCCCTAGTTCGTTTTATCCCTTGGTGTCTTTAACCCAAACGGACACCAGAGATCAGCTCCAACTCAGTCTCCTCAGAGACCTCTCCCTTCAGGAGTTGTTTTCCAGCTCCCCCCCCCCCCCCCCCCCTTATACTATTCTACTCCTCATCTGAGCAATAGCGTCTACTTCCTCATTACCCTGCCAGTACTCTCCTTCTTTCAATGTGCTTTCTGGTGTATTATTTCATGTTGCGAACCCATTAGCAACTCAGCTATGTTAGCCCATACACCTTGATTGGCAATCTACTTTCCTTTTAGCTCCTTCATAACCATTTTTATTCCCAGAGACCCGTCTTCTTGTAAGGTTCTATCAGTTATTATTCTCACATTTTTAATGTGCTTATCTTTAGTTTTTAATAAAGGCTTCAAGTACTGCAGTAATTTCAGCGGTTTGAAGTCACCCCAAAACTGTTGGGCCCCTTCAGAGAAGCCGTAAGTGTCTAGTAGATGTTTGACTCTAGACAACGTCTCTAGACAAATGTCTATATCTTTTTTCACTTCTCTCTCTTTTGGGCAACACTGTCTATAATATTTTCAGCTCGCTCAGCATAAACAGACTGAAGCAAGGTTGTCATGGGTACCGCCTGTGGTTGCTCTAACCCAGCTTCCTGTAGCGATCTGTCAGAGCTCAGATCAAAACTGCCAGCCCTTCCAGTCGAGGAAGCACTGGGGGGCCCAGGTGCTGTTGCTGTTTAACATCTCAGAGCTAGAGACCCCCTGAGTCTTCTAACGGTCCTTTTCTGTTTAACATCTCAGAGCTAGAGTCCCCCTGAGTCTTCTAACTGTCCTTTTCTGTTTAACATCTCAGAGCTAGAGACCCTCTGAGTCTTCTAACTGTCATTTTCTGTTTAACATCTCAGAGCTAGAGACCCTCTGAGTCTTCTAACTGTCATTTTCTGTTTAGTTTCCACTTTTCATTATTTTCTCCTAAGCTCCTGTAACATGGCGTCATGTGCCACTTCCATTATGGACGTTTTAAGCGGGAGAGTGAGGCCTTGAGCTGTCTACAAATTCACATAATCTCCATCGTTCTCAGGGTCGTCATTATTTGTATAATATGCTACACTGGTGGTAGTGGGAGCCTGGAGGTGTTCTGGAAGCGTACCCTTGAACTTGCCGTCTGTCCTGACCGTCAGTCTGGGGGGCTCCCACTCCCCACCCGTGTGGTCATTTCATTTACAATGGATATGGTTCCACATGGTCCGTCCACCCCCCCATTCCTGGGCCATATTCATTCATTCTAATCCCCTGCTTATAGTCACCTTGGGAAAGGGCCACTAGCATTATGTCTCAAACCTGAGGGCTCATTGCGGTACCCATTCCAAGTGCCATTTCAGTCCCTCTGCTGTGGATTTGGCAGATTCCTCTATGGTGCCTCCGAATATCCCGGCCCAGATACAAGGTAGCTCCTCTGAAGTTATGCCTGCCTTACGACAGGTCTCTAGGACCCCTTTTCCCCCGTTTCCTGGATTTCTCCTAGGAAATCTAGTGATATTTTCTTTCTCTGGTCCCACTGCATGTATTTCCTAACCTCTCCTGAAGGGGTGGGGGGGGGTGACCTCCAGTAGTGTTTCCATTTTAACCTTTCCTGGTCCCTTTACTGCTACCCGGGCTTGTCCTTCTACCTCTAACCGAGGTCCCGCCCAATAGCTAATTTGCTCTACTAGACCTCCTGCACGATCCAGGTAACCATTGGTGTTGGCGGTGTTGGTAATGGCCTGAGTGTGTGCCCCGCAGATGTTGCCAACTCCCAGAGTGATCCTTATTTGGGGTTGGCAGGGAGTTTTCCTACTCCCAGAGTGATCCTTATTTGGGGTTGGCAGGGAGTTTTCCTACTCCCAGAGTGATCCTTATTTGGGGTTGGCAGGGAGTTTTCCTACTCCCAGAGTGATCCTTATTTGGGGTTGGCAGGGAGTTTTCCTACTCCCAGAGTGATCCTTATTTGGGGTTGGCAGGGAGTTGCCTACTCCCAGAGTGATCCTTATTTGGGGTTGGCAGGGAGTTTTCCTACTCCCAGAGTGATCCTTATTTGGGGTTGGCAGGGAGTTGCCTACTCCCAGAGTGATCCTTATTTGGGGTTGGCAGGGAGTTTTCCTACTCCCAGAGTGATCCTTATTTGGGGTTGGCAGGGGAGTTGCCTACTCCCAGAGTGATCCTTATTTGGGGTTGGCAGGGAGTTTTCCTACTCCCAGAGTGATCCTTATTTGGGGTTGGCAGGGAGTTGCCTACTCCTAGAGTGATCCTTATTTGGGGTTGGCAGGGAGTTTTCCTACTCCCAGAGTGATCCTTATTTGGGGTTGGCAGGGAGTTTTCCTACTCCCAGAGTGATCCTTATTTGGGGTTGGCAGGGAGTTTTCCTACTCCCAGAGTGATCCTTATTTGGGGTTGGCAGGGAGTTTTCCTACTCCCAGAGTGATCCTTATTTGGGGTTGGCAGGGAGTTTTCCTACTCCCAGAGTGATCCTTATTTGGGGTTGGCAGGGAGTTGCAGCGACGCTCCCCATCCAACCTGACAGAGCTCTAGAGGATCTGGAGAGAAGTATGGGAGAAACTCCCCAAGGACAGGTGTGCTAAGCTTGTAGCGACATACCGAAGAAGACTTGAGGCTGTAATCGCTGCCAAAGGTGCTTCAAAAAAGGACTGAGTAAAGGGTCTGAATACTTATGTAAATGTGAAGTTTCATTATTATTATTTTTTTAATACATTTGTAAAAAATTATAAAAACCTGTTTTTGGTTTGTCATTATGGGGTATGGTGTGTAGATTGATGAGGGGAAAAAACTATTTAATCCATTTTAGAATAATGCTGTAACGTAACACAATGTGTATAAAGTCAATGGGTCTGAATACTTTGTGAATGCACTGTACTCACATGTCTGAACAATCGAGGTGGGGTCGTACTTCACAAGCGCCACCAACCATTTGTCAAGTATTGGGAAATTACTAATTATTACTAATTATTATCCCTACATTTCCTAAACTTCTTACATTTATTTGCCAGTTCTCCAGTGTTGCTTCTGCACCGGAGAGAAGGGCTCTGGTCAGCATCAGCCTATGCTGCCGTGTAAACGGATTTCAGTAGAATTGCCCTCCTTTCAACGCCACCATCAACTTAACCCATCTGTCCCAGTTCATTTCTCCATTCATTAACATCATTTGACTGTTTCTGGCATATTATCCCACATTTCCAGGATGGTATCGCTGGTATTGCTGAGCCTTCGTTTGAACCATGTGCCATTTTGATTCCTTTTCATTATACAGTGTATCTTATCCGAGATTTAAGAAGCTTCTTCTCATTACTGTAAGTTGCTCTGGATAAGAGCGTCTGCTAAATGACTAAAATGTAAATGTAAATGTAATAACTAGTTACTTTAAGTTGCTTTTTCCACTTCCAGGTATATCCACCCTGGCTATCCTGCAGACAAGTTACTTTAGGTCTTAAAACATAACTGTTCACCAATCTAGGGTTAATAGTCCGGACGTCCCTAATTGGATCGAATTGGTTAAGACTCTTATTAGAGTTTTGTTTACACTTCAATAATTTTTCACAGGTCCACTCTTAGTGCGGCGCCTCGCCTTTAAATCTTTGCCAGTGGATCTTCTCTTGACCTCACAGGGTCACAGGTCAACTCCCAGCGTACGTTGTAGGCCTGGATTATCCCGCGGCATGAGCCTTTCTCCCGGTGAGGAAACCAAGGAAACCTCCCTGTCTTCCCACGCTAAGCTGAGTTAGCAGTGGAGCCCTGAGCTGAGTTAGCAGTGGAGCCCTGAGCTGAGTTAGCAGTGGAGCCCTGAGCTGAGTTAGCAGTGGAGCCCTGAGCTGAGTTAGCAGTGGAGCCCTGAGCTGAGTTAGCAGTGGAGCCCTGAGCTGAGTTAGCAGTGGAGGCCCCTGAGCTGAGTTAGCAGTGGAGCCCTGACTGAGTTAGCAGTGGAGCCCTGGAGCTGGCGTTAGCAGTGGGAGCCCTGAGCTGAGTAGCAGTGGAGCCCTGAGCTGAGTTAGCAGTGGAGCCCTGAGCTGAGTTAGCAGTGGAGCCCTGAGCTGAGTTTAGCAGTGGAGCCCTGAGCTGAGTTAGCAGTGGAGCCCTGAGCTGAGTTAGCAGTGGAGCCCTGAGCTGAGTTAGCAGTGGAGCCCTGAGCTCCACTTTATCAACCGGACCACCCCTCTTGGTCTATCCCTGCTTGCCACAGAGGTTAGCTCACTCCTTCCTACTGATTACACATTTACATTTAAAGTCATTTAGCACAGGGTTTCCCAAACTCGGTCCTGGGGCTCCCCCTGGGGGCATGTTTTGTGGTTTTTTTTCCCCTGGCACTACACAGCTGATTCAAATGACCAACTCATCATCAAGCTTTGATTGTTTGAATCAGCTGAGAGCGACTTACAGTTAGTGCATTAATCTGAAGATAGCTAGGTGAGACCTACTTGAGCAGCACCGCCCCCTCAAGATTCTGAGCCTGCCTGGCAGGGTTGGTCCCACACAGCCAGAGCCCCCTGGTGGCAGAGCATAATATACAGTGGGGAAAAAAAGTATTTAGTCAGCCACCAATTGTGCAAGTTCTCCCACTTAAAAAGATGAGAGAGGCCTGTAATTTTCATCATAGGTACACGTCAACTATGACAGACAAAATGAGAATTTTTTTTTTCTCCAGAAAATCACATTGTAGGATTTTTAATGAATTTATTTGGAATTTATTAAATTATGTTTATGTTAATTTATTAAATTATGGTGGAAAATAAGTATTTGGTCAATAACAAAAGTTTCTCAATACTTTGTTATATACCCTTTGTTGGCAATGACACAGGTCAAACGTTTTCTGTAAGTCTTCACAAGGTTTTCACACACTGTTGCTGGTATTTTGGCCCATTCCTCCATGCAGATCTCCTCTAGAGCAGTGATGTTTTGGGGCTGTCGCTGGGCAACACGGACTTTCAACTCCCTCCAAAGATTTTCTATGGGGTTGAGATCTGGAGACTGGCTAGGCCACTCCAGGACCTTGAAATGCTTCTTACGAAGCCACTCCTTCGTTGCCCGGGCGGTGTGTTTGGGATCATTGTCATGCTGAAAGACCCAGCCACGTTTCATCTTCAATGCCCTTGCTGATGGAAGGAGGTTTTCACTCAAAATCTCACGATACATGGCCCCATTCATTCTTTCCTTTACACGGATCAGTCGTCCTGGTCCCTATGCAGAAAAACAGCCCCAAAGCATGATGTTTCCACCCCCATGCTTCACAGTAGGTATGGTGTTCTTTGGATGCAACTCAGCATTCTTTGTCCTCCAAACACGACGAGTTGAGTTTTTACCAAAAAGTTATATTTTGGTTTCATCTGACCATATGACATTCTCCCAATCCTCTTCTGGATCATCCAAATGCACTCTAGTAAACTTCAGACGGGCCTGGACATGTACTGGCTTAAGCAGGGGGACACGTCTGGCACTGCAGGATTTGAGTCCCTGGCGGCGTAGTGTGTTACTGATGGTAGGCTTTGTTACTTTGGTCCCAGCTCTCTGCAGGTCATTCACTAGGTCCCCCCGTGTGGTTCTGGGATTTTTGCTCACCGTTCTTGTGATCATTTTGACTCCACGGGGTGAGATCTTGCGTGGAGCCCCAGATCGAGGGAGATTATCAGTGGTCTTGTATGTCTTCCATTTCCTAATAATTGCTCCCACAGTTGATTTCTTCAAACCAAACTGCTTACCTATTGCAGATTCAGTCTTCCCAGCCTGGTGCAGGTCTACAATTTTGTTTCTGGTGTCCTTTGACAGCTCTTTGGTCTTGGCCATAGTGGAGTTTGGAGTGTGACTGTTTGAGGTTGTGGACAGGTGTCTTTTATACTGATATCAAGTTCAAACAGGTGCCATTAATACAGGTAACGAGTGGAGGACAGAGGAGCCTCTTAAAGAAGAAGTTACAGGTCTGTGAGAGCCAGAAATCTTGCTTGTTTGTAGGTGACCAAATACTTATTTTCCACCATAATTTGCAAATAAATTCATTACAAATCCTACAATGTGATTTTCTGGAGAAAAAAAATTCTCAATTTGTCTGTCATAGTTGACGTGTACCTATGATGAAAATTACAGGCCTCTCATCTTTTTAAGTGGGAGAACTTGCACAATTGGTGGCTGACTAAATACTTTTTTTCCCCACTGTACAAGGAAATTCTCAAAGCTGCTAATGAGAACCTTCACGACCTTGTACCTAGCCGGTGGGGATTCCGGCGGGGTGCCCCCACCCAGGTAGTGGCAGTTCTGGCAACACTGGCTGCAGTACCCATGGGGAGGGGGTCACACTCGGACAATCAGAGAGGGGGCTTATTATTGTGGCCCTGGGGGCACAAAATAATCAAAGGTCTGACTGCACAGAGATGCTTGGGAAAATGGTCACAATTGGGGACCAGCATGTGTGTTTTGCTATCTGCAGTATTGCTATCTGCAGTGTTAGTTCCAGGTAAATATTGCAATTCTTCAGCCATTCCTGGACCTGTGACCAAAAACAAGCTACGTATGGACAGTTCCAAAATAAATTATCTAATGACTGTCTCTTCGCAGCAAAATCTGCAGAGCTGGGAAGGTTGTATCCCCCATATATATAACATTCTATTGGTTGCAAGAATTTTGTATAGTAATTTAAATTGAAAAATTCTAAGTTTTGAATCCGGTATCGTTTTGCGTATCAGTTCATAAACCATGTGCCATGGAATCGGTATATCGAAAATCTCTTCCCAACTATTTTGCTATCTATATGGCACAGCTGTCAATTTTTTGGTCCTTAAGTTAAACTGGGATATTTTTTTATTTATCACAAATTTCTTTAGCCAATTATGGTCTTTAATGCAGGGCCGACAGACAAGTTCCTTACTTTTCCCCCTTCCACTTGCCTCTTCCATTTTTGCGGTAATGCTGCAATTAGTTGGTTGTAATTTGGGTAGAGCAGACATTTCCATATGTTTTTGTTAGCTGCATATGTCACAACTCCACCAGTCCTATTTATGATACAATTTACAAAGATTATACCTTTTTTAATCATTTTCTTTAAAAAAATAATGGGTTTTTATCAATTAGTATATTTGAGTTTAACCACAATATTTGTTGTATTATTTGTTCTGTCTTTTCTGATGGATTAAACTGAAATTGCAACTAACTTTCTATGGCTTGTTTTAAAAATAACAATATTTTGGAGATTATTTCGTTTTCAAATAACTGAAAGTGAGAGTTTGTAATCTGAATAAAGGGAAAAGGGCCATTCTTGAACATGGGGTGAGACATTCTTACTAATTTGCTAGAGAACCAGTTCGGATTTAAGTATAACTTTTGTACGACTGACGCCTTTAGTGAGAGGTCTAATGCTTTAATATTTAATCATTTCTGTCCTCCGAATTCATATTCTTTATATAAATGTGCCCTTTTAATTTTGTCTGGCTTGCCGTTCCAAATAAAATGGAATATTTTTTGCTCATATAATTTAAAAACAGGTCGCTGGGTGTAGGCAAGACCAAATAGGTAAACTGGGATAATACTAAAGAGTTAATCAGGATGAAATAGACAGGTATTTACCTTTCCATGGTAGTAAGATCTTATCTATTTTTGCTAACTTACTATTAACATTTATTGGAGTGAGAATGTCTTTATTTCGGTATAGCGAGTATGTCCACATCAGACCATTTTATTGGTAAACTACACGGTAATGTAAAAATTTTATTTTTTTGTAATATAGTACACTTATCATAATTTGGTTTTAATCCAGAGAGGTTAGAAAATGTATCTAGATCCTCTATGAGGCTGTTGAGGGATCCACATTGTGGATTTAAAAGAAAACATGAATCATCAGCGTACAATGACACCTTTGTTTTTAAGCCCTGGAATTTGTAACCCCTTAATATTATTGTTGGATCTGAGTTTAACAGCTTACATTTCAATTGTAATAATAATAGATATACCAATTGTGGAAAACCTTGTTTTACTCCTCTTGACAGTTTAAAACTTTCTGAGAAGTAGCCATTATTTACTATTTTACACCTAGTGTTACTATACATAACTTTAACCCATTTTATAAGAGATTCTCCAAAATTGAAATATTCCAGGCATTTATATATAAACTCCAGTCGTACTTTATCAAAGGCCTTTTCAAAGTCTGCTATGAATACCAGGCCTGGTTTCCCAGATTTTTCATAGTGTTCTATTGTTTCCAGTACTTGCCTTATATTATCTCCAATGTATCGTCCATCTAAAAAACCTGTCTGATTAGAATGAATAATATCCGACAATACCTTTTTAATTCTATGCATTTTGCTAGAATTTTTGCATCACAACACCGAAGTGTAAGAGGCCTCGTGTTTTTTTCCGTAAGGGTCTGTGTCATGGAGCACATGTCCATGACTTCCAGACAATGACACTGAAACAAATTATTGGTTGGAGAAAGACTCCTTATTGTATCTCTTCAAGGTATAGCCAAGAATCCTGAAACAAAAGAGAATGTTGGATTGAGTAGCGCATTCCGTTTGCCAACAATACTTCGACGGAAGGCACCATAATTGAGTGTTTGTTGTCCAAGCCAGTTACTAAAACAATGTAACGTGTTAACCATGTTCCCATTTAAAAGTTAATGCTCTAGCAATGTGAAATATATTATTAGAATAATGATCGAAGTGTTGGTAGAGTATAATCACATCATTTAACCTACCTCGTGTGTTTGTCTGAAACGTCATTGTGCATTACGCATGAAGCAAATTAGTCTACGAGTCATCGAGGAACATTTATTGGTTGACGGAAATAACCAAAGTGATGAATTATCCCGGGGGTGAATTACTTCATGAATGTGTATTGTGTGACTTAAAGAAGTTATGGCACCAGTTATTGAAATGTGTTTATGTAAAACTGTTGTTTATGATGTTATATGTCCATGGGAAATTACGCATTTATGGTAGAAATGTGTTTTGGGGCTATCATGGTGGAAAATTCCTAGCAGAAGGGAGTTCCTGGAAAGAGTACTTAGGTTGTCACGAACGTTGAGGAACGGGTCAGACCAAGGTGCAGCGTGGTATGCGAACATGTTTATTCAGACTGGATAAACACTCGACCAAAACAACAAAAGGCAACGTAACGTGACGTCACACTCACTATGGCTAAAACACATACAAGCCAAACCAGAGTACGAACAAGATCCCACAACCCAGGCAGGAAAACTGGCTGCCTAAGTATGATCCTCAATCAGAGACAACGAGCGACAGCTGCCTCTGATTGGGAATCACACCCGGCCAAACACAGACGCATAACAACTAGACTCTAAACATAGATATACAACAACCTAGAACTAAACATGCACACCCTGACCAAACTAACTAGAGTTCTAGAGGTCAGGGCGTGACAGTACCCACCCCCCCCCAAAGGTGCGGACTCCGGCCGCACAAACCTGACTTAACAGGGGAGGGTCCGGGTGGGCTTCCAGCCTCGGTGGCGGCTCCGGCTCTGGGCGTGACGTCTTCTCCCTTACTGCCTCCGCGTTGCACCCCTGGACCGGTCTGGACCTCAACACGGAGCTTCCCCTCTCAGTCCTCCCACGATGCACTGAACCCTGTCTGGACCCTGGTGTGGGAGACCCCGAACCTGGAGAGGGGCTAACGTCTGGACCCAGAGTGGAGCCGCTGACCGGAGCTGAACCGGATCCCGGTGGAGTGGACTGCTCTGGCTCCGGAGTGGAGCCGCTGACCGGAGCTGAACCGGATCCCGGTGGAGTGGACTGCTCTGGCTCCGGAGTGGAGCCGCTGACCGGAGCTGGACTGGGCACCGGTGGAACGGGCACGGGCCGTGCCGGACTGGGAACACGCACCACTGGCTTGGTGCGAGGAGCAGGAACGGGCCGGGCCGGACTGGAGACACGCACCACTAGCTTGGTGTGAGACGCAGGCACGAGGTGTACCGGACTGGGAACTGTCGTTAGAGATCTCCGACTGTACCAGTCTTTTACTCTCCGCGCCCAGTCCTCCTCCAGTGAGGACTCCACCTTGAGCCCCCACGAGTGCAGTGGTCGGGGCTCTTCTCTATCGATCCCCGACCACCCTTTTAGCCCCCCCCAAAATGTCTCTCGGGCTTCCTCCTCTGCCGGCACCTTCTGTGTTGCCGTTGCTCCTCTCTATCCCGGGCTTCCTCTGTCTGTTCCCAAGGACGGCGATCCATCCCAGCCTGGATCTCCTCCCATGTCCAAGATCCCTTACCATCCAGGATCTCCTCCCATGTCTAGGATGTCTGCTCCTGGCCACGCTGCTTGGTCCTCGTTTGGTGGGATCTTCTGTCACGAACGTTGAGGAACGGGTCAGACCAAGCTGCAGCGTGGTATGCGAACATGTTTATTCAGACTGGATAAACACTCGACCAAAACAACAAAAGGCAACGTAACGTGACGTCACTCACTATGGCTAAAACACATTCAAGCCAAACCAGAGTACGAACAAGATCCCACAACCCAGGCAGGAAAACTGGCTGCCTAAGTATGATCCCCAATCAGAGACAAGTCTGTTTCTGAGTCTTTTATTAAAGAATGTGAAACAATGTTGTGTCTGTTTGCTGCTTTTCATTCAATCAGTTCAGTTTGGATCTGGTAAAATAAACAGGTAAAATAAACAGTTCAGTTTGGATCTGGTAAAATAAACTGCTAAAATAAACAGTTCAGTTTGGATCTGGTAAAATAAACTGCTAAAATAAACAGTTCAGTTTGGATCTGGTAAAATAAACTGGTAAAATAAACAGTTCAGTTTGGATCTGGTAAAATAAACTGGTCAAATAAACTGGTCAAATAAATAGTTCAGTACGGATCTGGTAAAATACAGTGGGGGAAAAAAGTATTCAGTCAGCCACCAATTGTGCATGTTCTCCCACTTAAAAAGATGAGAGAGGCCTGTAATTTTCATCATAGGTACACGTCAACTATGACAGACAAATTGAGAGAGAAAAAATCCAGAAAATCACATTGTAGGATCTTTAATGAATTTATTTGCAAATTATGGTGGAAAGTAAGTATTTGGTCACCTACAAACAAGCAAGATTTCTGGCTCTCACAGACCTGTAACTTCTTCTTTAAGAGGCTCCTCTGTCCTCCACTCGTTACCTGTATTAATGGCACCTGTTTGAACTTGTTATCAGTATAAAAGACACCTGTCCACAACCTCAAACAGTCACACTCCAAACTCCACTATGGCCAAGACCAAAGAGCTGTCAAAGGACACCAGAAACAAAATTGTAGACCTGCACCAGGCTGGGAAGACTGAATCTGCAATAGGTAAGCAGCTTGGTTTGAAGAAATCAACTGTGGGAGCAATTATTAGGAAATGGAAGACATACAAGACCACTGATAATCTCCCTCGATCTGGGGCTCCACGCAAGATCTCACCCCGTGGGGTCAAAATGATCACAAGAACGGTGAGCAAAAATCCCAGAACCACACGGGGGGACCTAGTGAATGACCTGCAGAGAGCTGGGACCAAAGTAACAAAGCCTACCATCAGTAACACACTACGCCGCCAGGGACTCAAATTCTGCAGTGCAAGACATGTCCCCCTGCTTAAGCCAGTACATGTGCATGCTCGTCTGAAGTTTGCTAGAGTGCATTTGGATGATCCAGAAGAGGATTGGGAGAATGGCATATGGTCAGATGAAACCAAAATATAAATTTTTGGTAAAAACTAAACTCGTCGTGTTTGGAGGACAAAGAATGCTGAGTTGCATCCAAAGAACACCATACCTACTGTGAAGCATAGGGGTGGAAACATCATGCTTTGGGGCTGTTTTTCTGCAAAGGGACCAGGATGACTGATCCGTGTAAACGAAAGAATGAATGGGGCCATGTATCGTGAGATTTTGAGTGAAAACCTCCTTCCATCAGCAAGGGCATTGAAGATGAAACGTGGCTGGGTCTTTCAGCATGACAATGATCCCAAACACACTGCCCGGGCAACGAAGTAGTGGCTTCGTAAGAAGCATTTCAAGGTCCTGGAGTGGCCTAGCCAGTCTCCAGATCTCAACCCCATAGAAAATCTTTGGAGGGAGTTGAAAGTCTGTGTTGCCCAGCGACAGCCCCAAAACATCACTGCTCTAGAGGAGATCTGCATGGAGGAATGGGCCAAAATACCAGCAACAGTGTGTGAAAACCTTGTGAAGACTTACAGAAAACATTTGACCTGTGTCATTGCCAACAAAGGGTATATAACAAAGTATTGAGAAACTTTTGTTATTGACCAAATACTTATTTTCCACCATAATTTGCAAATAAATTCATAAAAAATCCTACAATGTGATTTTCTGGAAAAAAAATTCTCAATTTGTCTGTCATAGTTGACGTGTACCTATGATGAAAATTACAGGCCTCTCTCATCTTTTTAAGTGGGAGAACTTGCACAATTGGTGGCTGACTAAATACTTTTTTTTCCCCACTGTAAACTGGTAAAATAAACAGTTAAGTTCGGATCTGGTAAAATAAACTGGTAAAGTAAATCTTTCAGTTCGGATCTGGTAAAATAAACTGGTAAAATAAACAGTTCAGTTCGGATCTGGTAAAAGTGACAATAGAAATGGAAACATTGTGATTTTAAAGACACAAAGTAACAATAGCCTCTATGATGAAAGGGATGGGATGGTTGTTACTGGGCTCTCACCATTATCATTGTTTATGTCATTCAAATTCACCAAATAATGTTGTTTGGAAGCCCACTAGGCTACTGTTGTCATGAAATGTCCTGAATCATAGAAAGGAATATACCGTTGGGTGTTCGCGCAACAGCCTAGCCTCTCCTACACAACTGTGCACAGTAGCCTACCTGTGTCCAATCCCATGCACAGAAACATATGAAAACATTAACTCATTACCTTGAAGACACTTGCCAGCTGGTCTGACACACACTCTGAGAATGGTATTCCGCCTGGCCCGGTGGCCTTCTGAGCGTTAACCTGTTTAACATGGACCGCAAGATCACACAGTCATCCGGGAGAAAACAACGGTGGCTTTCATGCAGGACTCTGTGTTGTTTTCCTTGAAGTGAGCATAAAAAGGCATTTGGCTCATTTGGGAGTTCTGAGTCACTGGGCATCTCACAGCTGGGTTTCCCTTTGTAATCCGTTATCGTCTGCAAGCCCGGTGTAATAGGATTCCACCTTCCTCCCACAGTGTGTTGTCCTTTTGCATGTTCGACGTGTCGTCGGAGGGCTTTTCTTTAAGCAGCAGCTCTAGATATTAGCCTGTGTTGCATGTTTTTATGGTTTGGATACGTTCGTATTCGTCACTATGGGGACGACGTCGACTACTGTGGTAAACTCCTCGATGCTATCGGACGAATCCCAGAACATACAGTGAGGGAAAAAAGTATTTGAACCCGTGCTGATTTTGTACATTTGCTCACTGACAAAGAAATGATCAGTCTATAATTTTAATGGTAGGTTTATTTGAACAGTGAGAGACAGAATAACAACAAAAAAATCCCGAAAAACGCATGTCAAAAATGTTATAAATTTATTTGCATTTTAATGAGGGAAATAAGTATTTGACCACCTCTCAATCAGAAAGATTTCTGGCTCCCAGGTGTCTTTTATACAGGTAACGAGCTGAGATTAGGAGCACACTCTTAAAGGGAGTGCTCCCCACAATCTCAGCTTGTTACCTGTATAAAAGACACCTGTCCACAGAAGCAATCAATCAGATTCCAAACTCTCCACCATGGCCAAGGCCA